AAAAAAAAAAAAAAAAAAAAAAAAAAAAAAAAAAGATTGGGTCTTCCTATCTTGCCTCATAAGTCTGATTCCACTCAGATAGGGATGGCAGCTTTCACTTGTTCTTTTTCCAACCTGGGCCAGTTTACTCCATCCTTGCGCAACCTGATGCCCCCTCCACTTTGCTCCCAGGGGCTTATCATATTGATGATACATTTAGTGTGAACACTGGATCAGCTTGGCCCACTGCCACTCCAAACTAAACTAGAGAGTTTCCAGCCTTAGCCTCCCTAGCATCACAGATTCCAGCCATGGGCTCCCATGCTCATCCTTAGATTTGTTTCTTAGCTCCAGAGTGAAATAGAATTGTCCTTTACTTCCTGTGTTAACATTCCCCTACTCTCCTGTGTATTGACCCAGGTCAGGATTCTCCTCCTATTCTTCAGGTCCTTTTTCTTCTTCATTTTCACACCTAAGGCTATCAGTTTTGATCATGTTTAATTTTTTTTTAAAGGATTACTTATTTTCACGGGATCATGGAGAGTGATTTGCTGAGCCTTCTTGAGGACAACCCCTTTGCTTGTTACTCCCATCCAGCAGATTGCCCCCATAATCATCCCCTTTCTTTGATCTCTTACCCTTAATTTTATCCAGCAGATTGCCCCTCCAAACATTCTTTCTTTCTCTGATCTTTAGTATTTCCCTATCTACTAGCTCATGGCCTGCCATCTCCAAATGTATCAGGTCTCCCCCATCACTAAGCCTCACCTGACCCTACTCTCCCCTCATATATGTAGTTCTGCTCTTCACAGCGAAATTTGAAAAAATAAAATAAAATAAAAGCTGTACATTCACATTGTCCATCAACCAGCATTTATTAAGCTCCTACTATATACTGGGCACTGTTCTAAGCTGGGAACACAAAGAAAGGCAAAAGTTGGTCACTGCTCTTAATTAAGAAGCTTCACAGTCTAATGAGGGGGACAACATGCAAACGATTAGGTACAAATAAGATATAATCAGGATTCATTGGAGAGAATCCTAGTTTCCTTCAAAGCTCAGCTCTAAAATGATTGTCTACATGAGGCCTTTCCCAATTCTCTGGATGTTGTCTACTCTTTAAAATTACCTTGGGGCAGCTAGGTGGTGCAGTGGATAGAGCTCCAGCCTTGGAGTCAGGAGGATCTGAGTTCACATCCAACCTCAGACACATAACACTTACTCGCTATGTGACCCTGGGCAAGTCACTTAACCCTAACTGCCTCACCAAAAAAAATAAATAAATAATTTTTAAAAAAAAGAGAAGGATGAACAATGATAACAAGGATTCTGCTTGAGGTCTTCACACAGATAGAAGGACTTCCAGAGCAGGTGATGTGAGTTAAACCTTGTCACATGTATTTCTTACATGTGTACCTCACTACTATTATGGTCTAAGTTTAAGCTCCTACCATGGATGCTATGTGTATTTGTGGGAAGAAGTGAACCCCTTTCTTAGGAAAAAGTTTTGTATTAACTGTCTTTACTCTGTTATCACAGAATAGTAGTAGCTGCTCTCTGGGGACCCAACCTGGCAATTTGAATAGAAGTTGGGAAATGCTGGGACAATTTACTTTTGTCCTCCTAAGTTTTAATTTTTGATTTCTTGAAATGTACCTCTAAAAAACAGGCTTTAAAAAAGCTCATTGTGTTTTTTATTTTTTTATCTTTATTTTATTTTGTTCCATAAAACAAACATTTCCATAACATAATATAATAAAGAAGATGATTACACATGAAACCACAAATCTATTATGTACAACTTAGCTCTTTCTTTGTATATGGACAGCATTTTCCATCATGAGGCCCTTGGAGATGTCTTAGATCCTTGTATTGCTGAGAAGGGTTAAGTCTATCAATATTTGTACCTAACTGATTATGTTATTCCCTTCTTA